CCCTTGTTGATGAGGTGTGTCACCTCCCCCCCACCCTGGCAGTTTCCCTCTACTGCCAATTCCTTTCTTATAGTATTATGATAATTGTTCAAAGTCCACTTATGAGTGAGAACATATGATCCTCAGCTCTTTGTTTCTGATAGATCACTCAGTATTATAGACTCTAAGTCCATCCAAGTTGCTGTCAAGTTCATAATTTTGTCTTTCTTTATGGCTGTGTAATATTCCATCATGTATATGTGCCACTTTTTTTTAAATCCAGTCCTCTTTCGATGGTCAGCATGGTTGGTTCATCAAGTGTCTTTTCAAAAAGATTGATGCAAAAAAAATCTTTAGACCTACTTGTGTCTTTGTAAAAAGAGAAACTGGCATATGTGTTTAAGTGAGAGTACGAATATCATACTTAATCATATTTTTATTTTTCTACTGGTTCCAGGATGAGCATAGTCTAAGTTTCAAACCAAATACTATTTTTGCTCCTCCCAATTTATAATTGTATCTGATCTTATTCCTTTCTCTTTCTATTTTTCCTGACCCTGACTTTTTTCCCCCTTGTTTTATTATATTGCATGCGTTTTTGTAAGCTACTTTACATATTCTATGGAGGAAGGAAAGGCCAAAATACGAAAACAAGATAGATAGATAATGGACTTATGAAGCAGATACTTCTTTTAACATAACTGAAGGCATCTAAAACCAACCAGTGTGCATACCATATGATTCCATTTATATAATATAAAAAAACAGGTAGAACTCATCTGTAGTGTTATGGGGTACATACAGGGATGGTAAAACTATAAAGGAAAGTGAAGAGTGTATGGTAAAATAAAAGTTAGATAACTGGTTACCTCTAGTTAGAGAAAAAGTGAGCAGGGATGGGAAGGGACACAAAGAGAAGACATCTTCTTCTTTACCTGGATAATTGTTAAAAGGGTGTTCCATCTGTAATAATTCTTCGAACTGTCTACATATGCTTTTTATATACATGCTTTGCATTCTTTCTAATACATTATATTCCACAAAAGGGATAAAATTACATTTGCTTATTTATTTTTTTATACAGCAAAATGATGAAAATGAAAACAAATGCTTGCAAAATACCAAAATAAATTCCACTAGAATTTCTGAAAGCTTTAAAAAAATTATTAAAAGCAAGGATCTATCACAAGAAGGAACGATGTCTAGACATTAAGAATGTTGGAAGGATGAACTGGGATGGAATGAAAACTAAGTCTCACAGCAATAATTAAATCGATGCAATCATAAAAATAGAGAGTATATAATTACTCTAGCAAAATTCATTTTATGGCGGTATTTATTGAATGTCTAACATGTGCCAGGCACTGTTCTAGGCACCAGAGACACAACAGTGAAGCAGTGTACACAACACATAAGGTCTTTTTTCTCAAAAAGCTTGTATCTTGAATTAAGGGAAGGAGAGGGAGGAGGAGACTCATGATAGGTAGAAAGAGAGATAAGCAGGTAGATCAAAACAGGCATTCCAGAGGGAGGGAATAGTTTCACAAATCCTCAAGTGAAAAGAGTCTGGCATATTTTAAAACTGAAAGGCCCTTATACCTGGAACACAGTGGTAAAAGGGGGAAATCTCATCAGATAACACTAGGCAGAGTAGGCAGAGGAGCGATGATATGCTAAGAGTAGAGAAAGGGTGCTTGAATTTTGAGTGTGATGGGTTTTAAGTAAGGGATTGACATGACCTGACACATTTTTAAAAGAACAATCTGACTACTTCATAGACAATGGATTTGATGGAGGAATTAGGGGAAAGACAGGTGGCTTTTTTGTAGTCAAGGAGACACAGAATGGCAACTTGGATGGAGTGTGTCACTAGTAGCGATCATGGGAAAAAAATGGATGAATTCAGGTTATGTTCTAGATGTAGGGTCAGCAGGATTTGCTGATGGATCAACATGGAGCAGAAAGTAAAGGAGAAAATCAAGAATAACTCCTAGATTGTGGCTTGAATAACTGACTGGTTGGCAGGGCCTTTCACTGAAATGGAAAAACTGGAATTAAAGCAGGTTTGTAGGGACAGAGAACTAAAGGGTTTCACCATGGCCACGTTAAGGTGGTGGTGCTAATTAGACACACATGTGAAGATGTCCGGTGGGCATTGGATATAAATCTGGAATTCTAATGAGAGGCTCATGGCCAGTGTACATATTTAAAGTCTTGAAGTTGCCTAATGATAGTGTATAGAGGGAAAATGTCCTATGACAAGTTTTAGGGCACTCCAATACTTCAAAGTTAAGCAAAAAAAGAAAAGGCACTAACAAGACTAAGAAAGAGCAGGCCCAACCTTTTGTATAGGAAGGAACACAATGAAAGTGACAGGATTTTTTTGTCAGTGCAGTGGTCTAAGAGGCCATTTAGGGTCCTCTCCAAGAACTGAAGGACTCGGTATCTTGGCCCACCTGAAGTTCATTTATACCATGCCAACATGCCTCAGCATGGTATGTTTTGGGATATGGCCACGGGAATAAAAAGCAAAGAATAATCAAATTGATGAAATACTTAGCTCACTATAAATTCAGATTTTTTTTGGCACAGAGTTTATAATAATATATTCTCCACTGAGGTCTAATTATAATGCTTTTAAAGACTCTTTCAAGTCTCTGCCACAAATATCGAGTCTCATGACATCTGGAAACAGACATTATCTAAATTTCCTATGGCAAAGTTATGCATAAAATATTTCAATTCTTTCAAGACCTAGAAGAATACATAAATCCATGTTCTAGAAATGTGTGCCAAATTAATGATTATTTAGAGCACCCCCAAATCCAGAAACATCATAGCTGCTTATAAAGAGTAACCTTTAGAAAGAGAGCTTATGAAGGCAAAGAATGCTAAAATCACTTATAGGAACATAGAAAACAAGTCCTTTTAGGTTTGATGCTACTACATGATTGGAAAACTACAAAATCTAAGATCAAATTCAGTGAATACAGCACAATTCAATTCAATTTCTTTTTTATATTTTCCAAGGATTCAGGAGCTTTAAAAAAACTGACCTAATGACCCAGAAGACTTTTGATCTAGGATCATTTGCATTACCACTTTAAAGTTAGACTCTTTGGATCACAATCCTTTAGTTCCCTCTTGCCAAAACTGTTCAGCGATGTTCCATCTCCCTTCCGCTTACATATACACACAGGCACACACATTTCGGCCAAGGGCCTGCAGAACTCTCTTTCTGCCATAATGAGCCACCTTCACCTCCTACCTGCCAGGGTTTAGTGAGTCTGGCTCTCTCATGACAGTATCTGTATTGGCAGTCTTCATAGACAGAGGCTCTTCACCCTCACATTACAATTTCTAAGTGACAAGGAAGTGATGTCCTCATGCTGCCAGCTTCCAATGCACTCCAAGTCTAACCCTATGAAAATTTCTGCCGGGCTAGGTGGCTCAACCTGTAATCCCACGCCTTTGGGAGGCTGAGGTGAGTGGATTGCCTGAGTCTGCGGGTTCGAGACCCTCCTGGGCAGCGAGACCTCATCTCTACAATAAATCAAAAAATCAGCCGGGCGTGGTGGCGCATGCCTGTAATTCCAGCTACTTGGAAGGCTGAGGCGGAAGGATCACCGGAGCCCAGCAGGTCGAGGCTGCGGTGGCCGGGAGCAGCCAGTGCACTCTAGCTTGGGCGACAGAGTGAGACTCCAACTCAAAAAAAAAAAAAAAAGAAAATTTTCTGATGCTAGGAAAAACAAAATGCTTTGCCATAGCTCTATTTCCTGGTAGCTCTGCAATAACAGCGACAACAAAGTATTATCTTTGTATCAATGTATTTCAGCTTCTTTTTTTTTTTTTGCTATTTAAAGAAAATCATGATGATGAACTGTTCGCTGACTGCATTTCCTTCCTACTAAATAACACGTGTTTTCTTAACAATTAACCAAACTTCTTCATTTACAAGATATTTAAGCAAGATTTTCTCTATTGCTTGCTGATACCACACATTTGCCCTGGCTTTCCTCTTGCCTGAGATTCCCAATTATCTTTATTTTCTTTCTGTTCTGTCACAAAGATAAATGATGGTGCTTGCTTATTTCAGTTAAGGACACAGTTTGCCGCAGAGCCTTTTTATAGGTATCCAATGCCAGACCACTATTTCTGGCGGTCAGTCCTGAAACCTTTACGGGAACAATATACCTCTTGGACCCTTCCCTCATCTTCCAAATTGTGGTAGAGACAGAGGAAGAGAAGAGTCTTTAAAAGAACTAAGTCAACATGCTCTTGGTCTCCATCCTTTTTTAATTCTTTCAGTCCGTTCATCATTGTTTTTCACTTTCCTATGTAAACACTTCTGAGAAAAATCAGAAGTGGGGCCAAAGTTGATTGACAATTTCTAGCTTCAAAACACTCTTTGGAAGCAGGGGGCTCCACTGATGAACATGAAAGATGGATTGGTACAATAACTGATGACGGTGTGCTGAGGACCCCAAGGCTTAAAACGGGTTGAGTGAAGACAGAATATATTACAACATGGGAAGCAAAGGAGGTGACTTCTGACTACAAAATCCCTGGCACAATATCACCAAAGTAAAAGGTATGCATTTTGCCATCCAACAGTATTCTGTAAATCGAGCATGTACAAGTATCAGGAGACAGTTCAGCACAGGAATGTGTAGTTCTAGTCCATATCCACGCTGTCTCAGGACAAGGATCACCTCTGGAAGCTATTAAAACAACCTGAGTTGCTATTCCTGCCCCCCAACAGAGGGGCAGCAGTTCCATTTAATATTCTTGTCTAGTGAAACAGCAAAGGCCTTCCATGCCTATTTTTAAATGCACATTTTTAGTATTCAATATAATGCTACTCTTTAACAAACTCTTTACTCCCTGCCTCTCTGATGAAGCTTCCCATGGTCTTTCAAGGGATTGTTAACCCGAGAATGGATCACACTCTTTCTACATGAGCAGGCTGAGAGACACCCCATTAAGCCGTCCGGTATTTACTAAAAAGAGCCATCTCTCACCTCTGAGGAGATGAGCCAGTTGCTCGGTGATGAGCTCAGGAGCCTCCTGGAGAATCTCTTTCAGCACGAGGGAAGAGGAAGACTCTCGGAACTCAACCCTGGCATCGCTCTGCTCAACTGGATTAATGACTTTGACGACTGCTGATTCTAAAGTTTTGTCTTCACTGTAAAGCAGATGGAGGAGAGGAAGAGAGAGTGACTGGCATGTTTTCTGGCTTTCTGGAATTGTTTCATCTCTGGTCTCACACAAACGGTTTTCTCTCAATAGTCAAAAATATAAGCAAACTCACATGACTCAGAAGAGTAGAACCTGATTCTGTGTACTTCTGCATTTTGTTTCAACTACCTATTCTCAAAATCTCTTCATATCTTGGTAGCTTTATCTCTTATTCCATTGTTGGAAAATAATAACAACAGCTAACTAACATTTATTGGGCTTCCACTGCAGGCCAGACACTAATATAAATATCTTAGGCATATTATCATGTTTTGTACTACGCAATGAGTTTTATTAAAAATCTCCATTTTACAAACAGAAAAACCGAGGGACAAAGAAGGTGAGAAATTAGGTCACACAAGTAATGAGTAAGCTAGCTGGCATGAAAACCCTGACAATCTGGTTCCAAGGTTTTCTTATCTCTATTTGTATCCCATTATTCTAAAATAAATAAATAATGCTATTGGGCTTATTTACTTCAACCATCACTCTTTATATGTGAAATAGAGTTGGTTTTTATCAACAGCAGAAAGAAAGACATGGATAAAACCAACTTTATTCTTTCTGCCTGTCAAAAACCTAGAAGTAGCAATAAAGGAAATGAAGTTCTCAATTTATTTTTGAAAAGCGTATTATTTCATAAAGCATCTTATTTCATAAACAATCCCAAAGCCAGAGTTCAGTCTCAAAGCCAGTATACATTTTTCCATTTTAATTGGTAACAAAACACTTCCTCAGATTTTGATGGACACACATGCATTCCGTAGTTCACTCCTTTGGCTTTTTGTGTTGTCTTTATCTGGGTCTATATGCATTTGTTGGTTTGAAAAGGTTAGCACGAAAATTTAGTCCCGGATATGATTATCCTGAATACCAATCATAGAGGTCTGTCAAATTAAAGAACCATAACTTTTAGCTATGTGTCAATGATTGATACATATTATTCAAAAGAATTTCATTTGTTTCAAGTAGGATAGGGATAAAAGCAGCCCCAAATAAGCATATTATTTTCAAAATTCTTTTTTTTGAATTGGAGTCTCACTCTATCGCCCAGACTGGAGTGCAGTGGCTGTTCCCGGCCACTGCAGCCTCGACCTGCTGGGCTCCGGCGATCCTTCCGCCTCAGCCTTCCAAGTAGCCGGAATTACAGGCGTGCGCTACCATGCCCGGCTGATTTTTTGATTTA